GAATATCTCTTTGGATTTGAGACTTTAGTCTTTGCAACTTTACAGATCTTCTTTATGCACCAAGAGTTTGTAACACTTCAAAGAGAAAGGAAAAATTGAAATCGCATCATATGACCCCTTTAATTAAACTGGGCCAAACACAGCAGCTTGGTAGTCATGGTAACACGCGCTGAAGCCTTAATATTTCTCACACATGAAACGACTGGGCAGTGGATTTAAGACTCCTACTATGAGGAAAGTTTGGCTTATGAATATTAATGAGACGTGACATTTCACCGGTGGCCTGCTTCAATCTACTCAAAAATTAAAGTGGTCAGTTTATCAATAAAACCAGAACGCCATAATATATGGGACAAAAACAGCAGTTTCAACTAAAATGTTATTTATATGTATTTTTAAGTATTATAATAGATATACATAGTATATTGTAGTAATAAACTAAATAATGTTTTATATATTATAAAAATAAGTAAAATGCCACACAAGCATCTGCAAGGGAATGCTCTGGTTTCTAATGTAACCTCGGTTCCCTGAGATAAGGGAACGAGTGTTGCGTCCTTACAAAAATGAACCATAGTTTTACCACAAATAAAACCAAATATTTGCTACACTAACCATAGTTTAACCATGGTATTTGTAGTACTGTGGTTATACAAATGGTAATCAATACACCAAAAAACCTTGGTTTTCGTGTAGCTGCATGAACCAATGGCGCTTCAACCCGCCAAAAGGGGTGGAGCCGACCGCTATATAAGTTGGCTCTGAGTGCCATTTGTCAGAATCTTTCGTCTGATGTGACAGTCATCGATTCGCGTGCAGCCTTATAGCACGGCAGCCTACGCAACGCTTGTTCCCTTATCTCAGGGAACCAAGGTTATGTTAGTAAATGGAGCATTCCCTTTCGAATGGTCTCTCCTGTTGCGTCGCTAATGCTTATGGAGAACATGTCCAGTAGTGCCGTGCTATAAGCAAGTGCAGAACAAAGAGCATACAAAGAGCTGCTTTGAGTGCCTAAATGGTCCAGATTGCTCAACATACACTCTAAGAGCCTGAACCGGGCAGAGTGGATTAGGACCCTGCTCACCTTCTGAATTGGGGAGCGCTAGAAGGGTGGTGACTTGTGCTCTGAATGGAGTGGAGAGCACTTTCAGCACATCGCCATATATTGGTTTGAGGACGACTCTACAGTCATTAGGCCCAAACTCAAGACAGGAAGCACTGACTGACAGTGCTTACAGGTCACCCACTCGCTTGCCCAACGCTAAAGCCAGAAGGAGGGTGGTCTTAAGTGACAGGCACCGCAAGTCGGCCGACTGAAGCGGCTCAAAGGGAGGGCCCCGAAGTGGACCTGAGGACTATAGACAAGTTCCAAGTCAGCACAGAATGAGGACGAGGCGGAAATCTCCGAGCTCTCCTCAGAAACATAACGACAAGGTCATTTCTGCCGATTGACATGCCAGCCACAAGAGAATGATTTGCCATGATGGCTGCCACATATACTTTGAGCGTGGAAGGGTTGTGCCCCTTATCCAGTAGCTCTTGTAGAAAAGTTAGCACGGAGGACACGATGCAAAAGGATGGGTCCTCGTTCCGCGCTGCACACCAGTCAGAGAAGACTGGCCATTTAAGGGCATAAAGACGTCTTGTAGACGGGGCTCTAGCCTCCAAAATGGTTGCTGCATAGACTCCCGTCAAGGGGCCAAACATGAAGGCTCCACAGCTCTGGCCAGGGATGCCAAATCATGCCCTTCGTTTGCGAGAAAAGGTCCGTCCACAGTGATATTGGCCAGGGGGCTGCCGATAGCAGATGAATCAACTCGGGGAACCACATATGATTCCTCCAGAGTGGGGCCATCAAGAGGACCAAACATCTGATT